TTTCTCCTAGTAATCCAGTTGTTAAATTAATCATGCAGTTAATAAATTTTGCTAGATATTATTCATATTTCCTTGTTAAATATTATTCACTTTTGCACTTTTTCCTGCCTTACTATAGCCTCCTCGAGCACTTTTACCATAGGCACTCTTGTCCGCGTGCTTGTTCTCTTCATTCACTCCCCGACGCATAGCCTACTCGACTCAGTAACTTTCTTCCTATTGGGTCCTGATCGAGCCAATGAATACGGTCGCACGCGAATATGGGGCTCAATTGGTTTCCTTGTTAGCTCTTTGGTAACCGCCTTCCTTATTTTCATGACGTCTTCAAAAATATCCACATTGATCAGCAATGAGACTGAACTCGGCTCCACTCTGATGACTCCGGCTCCTTCCGAATATAGCGATCCTGTTGGTGGCGACAATGTGAATAAATCAGGAAGTGATGAAGCTACTTGGGTTAACGGGACTCATTTTGAGTTTTCAGATGCCGTTCCTATTGATGAAGGAGGAGGGCAAGTTGACTTTCGGTGCGCTTTTTGTGTCGCCATTATTCTTGTCCTCGTCGCTTCCGTGGCTAGTAGCTTCATCTTCGTACGTTCTCGGGCCCGCTCCAACTCGTTTTACAGGTGACTTTTGGCTTTTATTTATCTCATTCATCAAATTAAGGGCAACTCATTAAACCAGGTCACCATTAGTTTGGACCAAATTAAGTTTAACAAATTTTCTTTGGATAGGTTCGATTCGGTTGTTATGAAGATCGAAGTGCAAGAATTTAACTTTAATAGTGATATGATTAAGCCAGCATGACCATAAGCTTCAGGAGCAGTGACATGAAATTTGGCTCCTCTAATATATCGTCTTTAAGATGCTTCTTATTGAAGAAGAGTTTTACCACATACTCCTGCTTATCAGACATTTCCATTATGATATATTTCTTCTATAGCCTCGCATACTTGTTCGGACCATCAGACAACATTAATCAATAAGCAGGCATACTTGATCACTTTCAGATGATTCATAGATGTTGACCTCGTAGGCTATAAAATTGACTTTTAGTTGTGATTTTATATTTTAACTTGGACAGATGAGGAATATGAAGCACAAGCACTCCTGTTCAAGGAGCTTTTCAGGGTCTAATACAAACTATGGAGGAGTATCCGGAGATCACTAAATGAATAAGGTTGAGTAGAGTGCTCGTACATAGACTTTGTAACCTTTTCATGAGTAGCACTTATTCTACTTTGACGATAATTTTTATAAGCAGACGCAAGGACTTATGATTGGATCTTGCTTAGCTCCCATCTTGACGAACAATTATGCTGGTAAATTTGAGGAAAACCTTTTGGAAGAGGCAATGCTACTCCACAAACTGTTGGATAGATACATGGATGACTATTTGTCATCTGGCATTATGACAAGGAAAGCTTAGATCGGGTCCTAGTTTCACCCAATCAACATGAAAGGAAAATTCGGTTCACAATGAAAATAGAAAATAATAGGTCTTCACCCCTTTTTGGTGTTCTGGTGATTTGAGAAGAGGGTAATTTAGGGAGAGATGTTTATAGAAGGCCAACATATGTTGGCTCTTCTGAATTTTCTTTCCTACCATATTTAAAAATCAGGTCTGAATTTTGAAATCAGAAAAAAATAGGAGTATTAAACTAGCTTATAATAAGTATTTGGAACGGTTGAAAGATTTATTCCTGGAAAATTATTATGCTTTGGGTCTAATTGATAATAATATCTCTATACTGAGGAATAAATTTTCAGGCGATGACTAATTATATACGAAGAAAAGTTGGTTTTCGAGAAATCTCTTGTTTTATAATG